AGCCCCGACGCCAGATCCGGGCGAGGGCGCGCCGGCCCTGCAGCCGCGGCCGGGCTGTCGGCTCCCAGACCGAACTCTATTTTCTGGGCTTTAACGCCCCCTTGTAGTTGCACTTTGTAAAACAGTTTTCCTGTGCGATGGGAAGACCGAGGTTCATTCTTCTGGTGACCAATTAAGTGGGACAAAAGGCTTGTGCCACTGGTATCGCTTCTTCAGCTCGTGCCCTTCTCGTTACTGTTTCAGGTTTAACCTTTCCATCCGCAGCTTGATCTGTTTCCTTTAAAACTACCTCCCATCTCCCTGTCTTCCTTTCCTCTGTATTTTGCCTCTCCAAGAATGTGCATATGCGCGCCGTCCCTTTAGGGGTAATTTACATTTTCTTCTGTAAAAAAAATGTTCTTACCTGTTTTCCACTCCTTTAAGTAGGTGCCAATTTTAATCACCTCTTTTCAGGCAGGAGCTACAATGCCAAGTAAATGCCTCCAGCAGACAGGAACCATTCTTGTCTCTCAGGTCCTCCTTTGTGGAAAGAATAGATGAACCTAGGTCCTGTCCAATGAGCTTCTCAGAGCATCTAAAATGATTGTTTTCCTAACTGAACCCTTCCTCTTCTAAAGGTTGCTCAAGTTTCTAGTTACATCCTGCTTCCTCTTACCGCAGGAATGAACCGTATTTTCCCTCTTCTTTCAGTCATATGATCTGCATTGATACATTGCCCGACTTGATTAGCGTGACTTTGGAGAACTGAACTATTGGGCTAGATTTTACTTTGCTTCTATTGTTTATAATATTTGATAGTTTATAGTTAGCTCTGAGAGGACTAACTATGAGGAAGCATTTGTTAAAGTTAGAATGCATTTTTTAGAATCATGTTTATTTAGAATTCATATTTGTTCACAGCTATACATAGATGCATGTGCTTGCTCACAGCGTAAAGTACTTCAGAACATACTTAAAAACTTCAGTGTTCCATCCCTCACCTCATAAGAAGTTACAGCATTTTCGTTATGATACACCCAAAAGAAATGCAGGTCATTTGGCCCAGCTTTCCAATTTCACAAACCAGAAAACTAATATCCAAGATAAATTGGCTGACTTGGCCTAGGTCACAAACCAAGGTATCTGTGATCGAGTAGAGGAATACCTGGTCCAGAACCCCAAATTATCCTCTGCTGTCAATTTTAACTCACTTTTATCAACTGCAAAATATTCTTCCTCATAAAATGTTATCTATTCATTGTCCATTTCAATATTTCCCTTGTTATTATTAAGGTTTAAAGGGAAAAGGCCAAGTTTAACTGCTCATTTATTAAGTACTGTATATGTGCATCATACCATTTGCTCTTTTTAAGTAGTAACAAATAAAAATAAAATAAAACCCAGTAACTAAAAGTACAAGAAAAAACTTCTTTCTAATAATCTCCTATAGAATTATCACCCGTGAATATACTTAAACTTTTTTTGAAAATTTTATTTTCTTCTTTATTTATTCCTGTTACATGATTCATTTATACAGAGGTACCTCGGTTTTGGAACGTCTCCGTGGATGGACATTTCGGTTTATGAATGCTGTAAACCAGGAAGGAAATGCTTCGGTTCTCGAACACGCCTCGGAAGTTGAACATGCCACACGGCTTCTGCTGAGGGCAAGGTCCTGAGGCCCAGCTGTGGGCTGTTGATCCCTTGGTTTCTGAACGTTTCAGAGCTCGAACGGTCTTCCAGAATGGATTACGTTTGAAAACCAAGGTACCACTGTATTTATTTATCCAGAGACTATTTCTAAATTTCATGTCCTCTTGTCTGTTATCTTGGAATTTGGTGAAAAAATTCTGTACTTAGTCTAAGAAATAGTCCCCAAACTGACAATACTGCCAAGTTAGTTAACTGTATGTTTTTAGGCCCATGTCAAATATCATTCTTATTTTAATAAAGATTTTTTAGTTAGACTAAGAAGTTAAGTATTAAGAAAATAGTACTTAATTGTAAATGATGGCATCCATTAAATATAAATACCTGATTATATTTCTTTTATATAACAGATTAACAATATAGTTCTGACTAAACTCCTTTTAATGTAAGTTATTAAGCCAAATTCCTTCCTACCTCTGGAATTCATTTATAAAGGTGTAAGATTTTAAAATTAGTACCCATATACAAACCAAATCAGAACTGTATTAAAATATTTGAATACTGGGAAATAGAGGTAAAATATAAATTAATACCTTTTTCTTGAAACAACAACAACCTTGGCCTTTTCTTCGTATTTACATTTTACTTTATATGCTTACAAATTGAGGGTTATTTTTAAAACTATTCATTTGCACTGAGTTCATTATCTTTAATGTCATCTACAATGAATGTAGAAGAGATTAGAGAGCGATTAATATAGTATTTAAAGAATCAGACTCGTCAACAATGACATCATTAGAAAGAGCTTATTTTCATTCCAATGCCATTAACAAGAAAGGCCTGATGGGTGAGTTTTCTTTATAACCCCAGGTTCACGTGGACAGGAAGGGCCCACCTTCCCAGCAGGGAGATCCTGAATCACAAGCTCCAGCCTCCATCGATGACGACAGGATTCCCTGTTACGTAGGCAGACTGCAGCGGTAAACACAAGGAGACAGAACGGTTAACCAGGTGTAACACGGGTTCTGTTTTTTCCAGTTCTATGACTGAGATAGCTAAACAATTTACTTTCATGGTAAAGAGAAAACTCACTTAACAAAGAGAATTTATGAAAACCTGAATTAAATTTTGGATGATTTAAAATTGCCAAGTGTTCTTGTGGCCTGGCCTCTGGCTGGCGTTTGAGCGCGTGTCACGTTATAAGCAAGATCTGTGAGGTGTTTGGTGTCACAACCAGAAAACTAAGAAGTTACGTGATGTATAGTCATTCCCCAAATTAGGATAAAGTGTAGGCTAGAACAGTACAGTTTCATTTTAAAACTCAGAACTATTCTAAACTAGCTGACTTTTATACAATTAATAACTTTTTGAATATAATCAAGTGTGTCAGTCATTAAGCGGTCATGTCAATTACTAAGCAAAAAATTTTTAAAAAGATATTGTATATATAGTTAATCAATATACATAGGCAATTCCAGGAACCGAAGTAACTAAATGTATTTGAAAAATTTGTATAAAGATAATTATTATTATAATCTATTAAATAGTTTTAGATATAAATCTGGGCTAAACTAAAGGAGTTAAAATAACTATTTTTTTCCACAGAATTTTTCATTTTCCAAGGGATTAAAGCTAAAATTACTTTTAAACCTTGAGGTTTAAAAAATCTGTTTTAACTTAAATATGGATAATAAAGATTCAAATTTGTGTTCTTAGTTTTAAATTTCTCTAAAGCCTGAGACAATGGAAGAGGGAAGAAGGAAAGACATAAGTACAGAAATTTTAAAGTTTATTCCATGAAAACTGATCATATAATGTAGATAAATTAGGAGGGTTACTAATTACTTTACCAATAACTGACCCCAACTCTCCCAAGTATTTTTACAAGGCAAGCTTTCTGTTTGTTACACATCTGTACTCTGGACTCCTTTAAAATTAGGCCAAAGGGCCTTTTGTTGCACATTCAAGCCAGAACATTTCCAAGTATTTGGTAACATAAGCTCGGGATAAACGAAGGCAACTTAACTAATCAGCTGTACCCCTAAATCAAATGAGCTCTTCTGAAGATATGCAGGCAGAGAAGTCACAAAGGCCAACATACTTGCCTTATTAATAATTTGTCTAGCAAGTTCCCCAGCTACTAACAACTGTTGTTAATAGTTCTGAGAAGTAGTAACTTCTCTGTCATGAAAACATTTCAAATCCTGTGTCTGTCACAGTCCCCGATCACCTGGTGTGCCACACCTCCTCACTCCTGCCTCTCACTTCCCTTCCCTTGTCTCTTTTCAAACGTTGTAGTTTCTTGGTCATGTAACATGCTCAGCCATAAAAGAGAGAGGGCTGTTCTTGTGCTCTACACATTATAAATACAGTGTCTGCTTTTGCAGTAGTAGTATGCCGTTTAAAGTATACAATAGCTGTTAAAGAAGAAACTGGTTCCTAAATAGATGGGAAGTGGAAAGAGGCAGAATTAGGAATTTCCATGCCTGACGACAAACAAGTAAGAATTCATAGAAAAAAGAGCCAATGGGAGTCTGCTAAATAAGGCACCAGTAAAACTAAAAACACCAGATGCCAATTTTGTGTTTGCCACATACAATTAAATCTGATGAACCCTCTCCCCACTCCACCTGAGGCTCTTATAATTTTGGAGTCTCATTTGTTTGATTTACTCTTAACCAGGGTTTCCCCAGCTACAATTTTGAAAGCAATTGTCTTTTTAAAAATTGAGCGACTTTTTTTCACTCCCTTGTTTCATTTTGCTACAAGATTTAGTGACATGGAAAGTTGAATGAGGTTAAGTCGGCAGCTCGGATCAAAGTGGCCTTTCTTTGAGCAAATTAAATCAGAACGGATCCCTGTCTAGTAAGTGCAGCACCTTAGCATATATATGCCATAACTCTCTAAAACGACATTTTTTGTTGAGCAACTAGTGGCCAAGTATGATTGAGGATAATGAACTCCCTGGGAAGAGCAGTGCTTACTTCATCAGAAGCCAGATACACGCACAGCAGGGCTATTTCTTCTGCAGTTGCAAATCTTCCAGTCTTCTGTCTCTTCAGAAAATCGCTCAGTGCCTGTGACCAGAAACCATGCCAGACATCAGTACCTGTCTGTGACCAGAAGCCATGCCAGACCTGTGCTGCAGTATGAACTCACTTGTAATTCCTTCTGGGGGGGTCAAAGGTAAGACGAATCTATAAAGGTACCACTGGCTTGCAGCCTTAATCATGCATGACACATAATATGTGAAAATGTCATTAACTGTGGACTAAACAGACCAAGCAGGGCTATGGTGACTTCCTAGCTACTCAAACTATTTTGTTAGACTAAAACCTACAGGCACTGTGACCGATCAGAAAGTTAATATTAAAGTTAATATTACAACTTTTGTAAAGTTGTAGTAAAATACACCTAATGGAAAATTTACCATCCTAACCATGACAGTTCAGTAGTGTTAAGTACATTCACACTGCTGTGCAACCAATCTCCAGAACTCTTTTCATCTTGCAAAACTGAAACTGCATTCATTAAACATCTCCCCATTCCCACTCCCTCAGCCCCTTGCAACCACCATTCTATGAATCTGTCCACTCTAGGTAAAGAAGAGGGCATTTTCTAGCCAGAAGATTGAAACACATTTGAGAGAGTAGATATACCTCTTCAGGATTTGGCCTGGCTTGTATTCTTTCTTGCAGAGATGGGGTATCCACGGTTCCTAAATCAAAGGGGGACATTCAGCTTGGTTACGTACTTTAACTGAAAAAATAAATTAACAATTAAACTTCCTTTCCACATGATATGACAATCCATGAAATCCCTCTCCACAACGTAGAATGACAATTTCACCTCTACCTGCTGGCCCTTTTATTTAATAGGCTTATAACTTCTTTAATAGCATTTCTATGACTTTTTAAAACAGAGACTATAGTTCTTGGTGACACTAGGCAAGAGCTCTGGGTGAATCGCCCAGCATTCCTAAGATATATATTTTATTTTTTTTTTAAAAAAAATCTATTGATTTCAGAGAGAGGAAGGGAGAGGGAGAGAGAGAAACATCAATGATGAGAGAGTCATTGATCAGCTGCCTCCTGCACGCCCCTTACTGGGGATCGAGCCCGCAACCCGGGCATGTGCCCTGACCGGGAATCGAACCCTGATCGTCTGGATCCTAGGTTGATGCTCAACCTCTGAGCCACGCCCGGCCGGGCAAGATATATATGTTAGTTGTACTACATTAACATGATCCTTTATGGATTTTAAGCACTTTTACATGTATTACCTCAGTTAATCCTCACAACCATCCTGAGATAAGGTACAATCATAGAAGAGCTTTACCAGTACAAGGATCCAGGTTGCCTACTGCTCTCAGAACCATTCCTGCTGCAGGCTCACTCCAGGGATCCTGAGGGACAACTCCCTGACTGCCATTGTCCTCCATAATTTCGGTGGTTCTAAATTTTCCTCATTACCTTGCCTATTTTCATTGGTTTCAAATTCCTATTTTTAAGCACTATCTCATGTTTCTCATAAAAAAATGTACTTTGAAATTATTTTGCTTAAAAAAAAAAATGACACTAAAAAATTTTAAATCCCACTTAGTTCAAGTTCCTGCAGAGCAAGTATCCCAGACTTTTTTTTGTTCACTTACGTAGTCTATAAATTCTCTCTAGAGGGCTGTTTTTTAAAAATATACATTTTTATTGATTTCAGAGAGAGGAAAGGAGAGGGGAAGAGAGAGAGGAACATCAATGATGAGAGTTATTGATTGGATGTACAGGGCTGTTTTTCTCGGATTGACCGTGCTCCAGAGAACCACATGGTCATACATCGTTAGCCTCAGCTTCATCTTTAGACGATGCTCCTGAGAATGCCATAGATTTGCTGTTTGCTTGGAAACCATTTCTTAATTTTATCACCATTTGCCATTTCCCTGGAGAGGCTGGGAATCAAACTCAGGAAATCCTGGCTCTTTTTTTGTTGAACAGCCCTTTCTTTGGCTTCTCTGCCTCTCCTCACATTTTACTGCCTAACGCTCTGGGTGGAAACTGCCTTCGCTGGATAACCCAGTTCATTGGGAATGTTTTCTGCCTCACATTTACTGCAGGTAATAGTGTTTCTAAACTTTCTGAAACCACACAGTAAAGATCTGCTTGTATCAGTTTCCAATGAGCCTCAGTGGAAGGCGAGGGCTCATTTCACATATGGGTGGTATGAATGGCTATTAAATGAAAACTGCAGAGCAAGCCTATGCCTTCCACTAAATCCCATTGTCCTGGACTCTGCCGTGCCCATGGCACAGACCGACACCCACGCCATAGTGTACCCGGGTCCGGTGCCGAGGCATGTGACTATGCAAACACCCGCACCATCCCAGACACAACCGTCCCTACTCAGGTTTTCTCCTGTGATCAGCTCGGTGAGTCACGGCTGGTTCCTTGTTCCAGAGAGTTTGATACCATATTTTCCAGTCTCCTGAAAAGCCCAGCTGCTAAAGCAACCTAATTTTCCAAATCATTTTGCCATTTATTCCATTGGGTAAAATAGCACCGAGTGTAGCTGGACTCCAAGTATCACCAGTATGTGCTAAACCTGTCTCTCCCATACCCCCCTTTTTCTTAGTGTTACCTATGTGTACCTTTCTAGTTCCAGAAAAATCAAGCAGAACACTCCAGTCATGGGAAATTCTGTAGCTTGCAGGGTATTTAGCAGTTTTCCCTCTTTAACTAGTAAGTCAGTGGTTTTCAACCTGAGGGGAGGCCGTGATGGATTACACCAGAATCTCCCGTGGGGCTTTCCAAATCACAGGCATGCCTCGTTTTATCGCTCTGCGCTTTACTGTGTTTCACACCTGTTGAGTCTTGCACAAATTGAATGCAAGACCCTCTGCCAGCAAAAAGATTACAACTCAATTTATTGTGACACTCGTTTTCTTGCGGTGGTCTGGAACCGAACCCGCAATATCTCTGAGGTATGTTATATTGTACACACAGTTTTCCCAATCAACTCCTTCCCCAAATTCTGGCATGCCCTTCAGGTTTTGAAAAGTCCCTCAGGTAATTGTGAAATTATACCCCTCCCCAACTCCTCAATACCAGCTGTGAACTACTGAGAGAAACTTTGATCCTGGACATGCAAAATTTAATTTCTTTTCAGAGAGGCAGTTAATAATTGTTTTTAGGTACCTTGTACTCATTTGGGGTGGGTGGAGCCAGGTGAGAGGGCAAATCTACTTATTAGACACACCCATGGTTATTAACAGAAGTTATTCTCGAGAAATAAGTTGTTGAATGTTTTTGTCTGGACAAATTGAATGTCCTTTCTACTAATAACGAGTTTTGCTTTTCTCCTTTCCTTTGTATGAGAGGTCAGCATACTTTCTGGTAAAAATAATTTGAGCCATGAGAAACATCTGGTGTGTTACAACTACTCAGCTCTGCCTGTAGCATGGACACAGTCCCACCGAATGAAGGAGCAGGCTGGGTGTGGATCTGCTCCCGTAAAACTCTATTTACAAAACAGGCGGTGGCCAGATTTGGCCTGCAGGCCTTTGTCTGCTGCCCTGTTATAGCCTAAAGGAAGGTGTTAATTACTCCTTTTAATTTATGGGCCACCGCAGGTGATTTAAGTGACTTAGCAGCTCCAGGTCTCCCGGGAGGCTCTCCTTACCTTCTGCCCGCTGTCCTGTCAGAACTGTTGACTCTTCCTCTTTCCCCGACCAGGTCCTCCCTGGTCTGCTTCCAAGGCACCAAGGCCTGCCCAGTGCTGTCTCTGCCACGTCGTTTGGAATCGCCCCATGCACGTAAGGAACATTAAACCCTTTGCCTCTGTGGCTTGTTCCTAATGACAGAGCCTCTCGTCATCAGTTACCTTGACAAGCCTAGGCCCTTTTCTTTGGAACTTTTCCCAACAACAGGATACAATAAAACGTGAAGTAAACAAGCTTATGTAGATATCTTTCCCGGCGGGAACCCGGATGTCAGGAAGGACTTGGTCACGGTCACGGTCACGGCCTGTAAGTGCGGAACTCACCTGGGCACACGCAGTTGCACCTGATACCCTGCTGGATGAAGTCTGCAGCTACAGCCTTGGTGAGGCCAATCACGGCCGCCTTGGTTGTGCTGTACACACACCTGTTCACCACTCCTGGAGGAATGGAAGGAACAGAAACATAGCCTCCTTTAGAAAGGGAACACAAATAACTGTCCCCAGTAACCACTGCCATGCTTCCCCCCACCCCACCCTTTAAAAAAATTGACATCAGGTTTTCTCCCTTACTAGGGCTAGTTTCTGAACGTGGGAAAATAATATCATTATTGGCACAAGTCAGTCGGGAGTTGGGTGCTGCACCTAAGAGACTGCAGTGGTCTTAGTTTTTCATCAACAGCTGGTAGATCCCTTAGATTCCAAAAGAGAATCAGGGTAAAGGAAAGCAAAACATGACAAAATCAAGAGGCCTAGGCATTTCTTTGCATTCCTCTCCTGTGTAAGTTCAAGGTGTGCATCTTTGCCAAGAGAAGAATGTTATCTCAGCAGCAGCTATTGCATTTTAAACCTGCAAACCCATCTGTGCCAGACTGTGACCTTGTCTCCAGTTTGCACTGCAATCCTGGCTCTTCAACTTGACTTCTCATTTGGGGCCCAGATCAGCCGTCTGCGAAGCTCTCACGTCTCCAGGCAGTTACCTCCCCAGCAGTGTGACAGCACTTTGCACAAAGCTCTGTTATAATCTTGTAGACGTCTGAACATACCACTCCTGCATTAAACCTTCACGCCTGCAGAAGACGTGTGCTTGCCTCACACCCCCCCTTTAGGACTGTGAATTCTTCTGGAGCAGGGGCACCTAGTGGGTGTTTAATACATACATATATTTTTTAAATCCTTCCCTGAGGAAATGTTTTAGAGGGAGGAAGGGAGAGAGAGAAACACTGATGTGAGAAATATCGATCAGCTGCCTCCCATATGTGCTCCCGGACTGGGGATCTAACCCACAACCTAGGTATGTGCTCTGACCGGGAATCGAACCCTCAACCTAGGTATGTGCTCTGACCGGGAATCGAACCCTCAACCTAGGTATGTGCTCTGACCGGGAATCGAACCCTCAACCTTTTGTTGCACAGGACGATGCTCCAACTGAGCCACCCGGTCGGGGCAATACATCTTTTTTGATTAATTAAATGTAAAGTGTTTCCTTCCCCCTCTTGATTTCCTTCTTCCCTCTCTTGATTTCTACTCCATACCCATTAGAAGAAATTAAAGGAGGGCAAAGCAAAAAAAGCTTTTATTTAATTTTATGACTGGTTCACATCTAAGGCAAAGGGACTGGTTGTTAAGGAACTTAAGCCCAATTTTATTTTATTTTTTAAAATATATCTTTATTGATTTCAGAGAGAGGAAAGGAGCGGGAGAGAGAGAGATAGAAACAGCAGTGATGAGGGAGTCATTGACTGGCTGCTTCCTGCACACCCCTGACTGGGGACCGAGCCCGCAACCCAGGCATGTGCCCTGACTGGGAATCGAACCCCGGTCGCCTGGATCCTAGGTGGGTGCTCAACCGCTGAGCCATGCCCGGCCGGGCTTTAAGCCCAATTTTAAACAGCAGTTTTGAAGTGATGTGCGGGCTTTATGAGTTTTGCTCTGCTTGTTCCCGTAGCGGGGAAGGTGTGTGACCGTGCATGGTGATCCCAGGACCACAGGCCTACCTTTGATGCTGGAAGCCACAGAAGACATGTTGATAATGTTGCCAGACTTCTGAGCGAGCATCTGCCAAAACAAAACAAATGTTTAAAAAATGCCACTCTGCAGGCTAACAATATTACCTCTGTAAAAGATTTGCATTTACTTGGGGTTTGCAGAACCATCTTATCAGCTGTTAACACTGAGAGCTGTTACGCAGTCTTAACAGTCCCGCCCAATCACTGCTGGGCATGGATGGCACGTGCTACCATCACTGGCGGGAACAGTCCCCTGGGCACTGCCCCCTTCCAGTGGCACAGGTGCTCTGCCAGAGCAAGAATGAACTCTGAGCTAAAGGAAGTCAAATGAACAGTATCCCTGTGTGTTCTTGATGTTGGAAAACTCCCACCTTCATTCACCACAGTATTGGTTTAACACCTACTGTGGTCGGCTAGCGTGCCAGGCCCAGGAGTTTCAAAGGTCAATGACAGTCCCTGCCTGCTGCCAGCTGCCAGCTGCCGGCCTGACTGCAGTGGCTGATTTAACCAGGACCCAGTGACAGCAGAGGCATCACAGAGAAGAGGGGGCTGCGGGACACCCAGAAAAGGCTCTTGAGAAGGGAATATGTGGGTGGATTTTTGAAAACTAGAGTGTTAGTTAGAAAAATAAACGAGAAGGGTGTTTGAAGGAGAGAGAACCCTGTGTAGAAAGGCTTTATGGAGGAACTGGGAGGCAGGGACGGGTCTGGCTGCAATGTAGGGTGTGGGGGGGTGAGGCTTCAGAGACCACCAGGGCCTAAATGTAGGAATTTGGGCTTCACCCTGAAGATACTGCAGTGGTTAGAATGAAGGTTTAATGTAGGAATGGTGTGTTCAGACTCGGGGATTATGAAGGTGGCTGGTATCCCGGGGAGGAGGCCCCTGGAAGCTGAGGTAGTGATTTAGGACAGGGGGTTGAAAACAGATGCAGAACCGTCTGTGGATAACAGAGGCGGAGGCAGTTGAGGTAGCAAGGGCAGGACTTGGTAAATGGTTATGTGCAGCGAGGGCTGCCTCCCCCACTAAAGCCGTGTTTCCTAAGAACACCGCCCTCAGAATTAATTCCTCCACTAAAGTGTGAACTTGGTGAGAGGAGGGTCTCCGGATGTTTTGTCTTTCTAGACTGGGCACACAGTAGGCCGTCAACGCACTTGGATGAATTAAAGTAAAGTGCAGATTGCTGGGCCCTGTCCCAGACCTAAATATTTAATAAAATAAGTGCTATGAGTTAAAGTTTTCAAGTGAACTTTATACTTTATTAAATATAAGACGTACGTATGTTTTGGAGATAATACATGGATGTGCAAGTGCACAGTACCCATGAATGTTTTGGTGGGAAAAGCAAGAGCTGGGGAGGGTTCCTGCCTCCTGGGCACCAACTTCTCACGGAAACTGGAGGCCGGGAAAATGACCGTGAAGAACCAGGGGAGACGGTGGGCCAGAGCATGCTGAAGAGTTAAAATAACGTGGGGGAGACGGAAGGCCAACCAGAGAATAGAAGCAAAACTGTATGTTCCACATCATGAAAATCAAGCGAAAAGTTTCTGAAAGAAGCCTCAATAGGCGGAGAAAGGGTCTGGAACAAAAATCACTCTCGTTGGGGTTTCTCCAGCAGCTTTTGGACAAAGGGGTGTAGGGCCCGAGAAGGCGGATGATTGGATGGATCCAGGGGTGAGGCTGCAAGATTACCGGGTTCCTCATGGTATTCTTCCTACTCCCCATTTTGATACTTAGCTACTAACTGTACCTCAAAGCAGATGCTAAGACCACCCTAAGGCGCTGTGCCGGATGGACTAACAGGACACGGGAGAGAATGAGGTGACCCGACCAAGTCAAGGAAAATGTCAGGGGAGAAATATTTACCTCAAGTTGTTTGTCTATACAATAAAGAATATAAAAATGAAATGGGGTCCTCATAAAAACCCCAGACAATTAGTATAGTAAAATGGCGCTGGAAACCAAGCCTTCAAATTATTCTTTCTTATCAAATCTATCAGATAGCATAACCCATTTTTTAATTTATTTATATTTCCCAGTTTTATTGTTGCTACCACTGTCATATATAACCCATTTTGAATACATATAGAATACATGTAGCCCAAATTAATGTATAAAGATGGGCTATTGAGTAAGTTCACTCTCCAGTCTTCTGATATGCAATAATAACTCGGGCAAAGCTTCAGGAGACGGTGGTGCTGCCCCCTGCCACCTGCACCATCCACCCCCCCCAGGTCTCTGCTGACCCTAGCGCCTTCCACTCCGCCTTCTCAACACCAGCTCGGTACCTGCGGTCACTGTGTGAATGCTCTTCCCGGCTCCCCGTGCAACGGTCCTCTCTGGCAAGGACAGCTTTATAAAGGGGAGTGTGTGGTATACAGTAATGCTACAGAGGATTGATGTCCCAGAAACTCAGGTGGGGGCTAGAAAGATCTGTAAAGGTTCCCTCCAGCTTCATCCTACTCTGGCCCAGCCCTTCTGTTCCCACTGACCAGAGCTCAGCTCCTAAACCAGGTGGATGTTGGCTTCTGGGTCTTCAGTGATTCCATGCCTGACCTCCAACTGGATTGATGACCTAGATTCCTATATTTATTCAACAAATGTTTTCTAAGCACCTCTATGTGCTAGGGGCCCTTCTAAGATACAGAAAGGGGTTAAAAACCCCACGTATACAAGCCCTACCCAAATTCTTGCCATTATGGATTCTCTCTGCCATTCCACAGTGGACCTTGGATTCTGCATCAGCCTCTTCTTCAGGATTCTCAACTTGTTTCCTGCCTTTTGACTGACCTTCCAGTTTTGGAATGATTTCCTGTCTGTCTATCCATGAACAAAAATTTCCTACAGGAGTTCCTATGTTTTGACCACCTGACATTTCAGATCTGCCTAGACTCCAAGTCCTGGCTTCCCCTGGAAAATTCCAACCTGGGACACATGCATCACGGTGAGTGAACACAGAGGATCCTAGACAATTAGGTCTGGAAGGGATGGTAGCCTTTCACCCTCATTTAAATAAAAGAAATCCATGCTGAAAGGGCCAAGTGCCATCTCCCAGGTTACGTGGTGAATTAGGGGCAGAGCTCAGGCCGTACCTAAGGTCTTCTGAGGCCAGGGTCAGATTTAACAAGTCCCCAGTCATTAATGTCGCTTGGGTTTTTGTTTGTTTGTTTGTTTTTTACACATGCGTCTTATTGGCTCATATGGATTATTGTTAAGATGCTTTAATAAATCATAGACAAACTCATTAATTTACAAGTTAGTGTTTGATATTTTGTAAACACTTATGTACATGTTTAAATTTCAGCTTCACTGCATCCACACCTGCTTCTCTCACTGATATTTGTAGAGCTTTCCAGACAGTAGGCTGGATTTACAAACGAGTCCCATACATGTGCGACAGTCTTACCTACCGTTCCCTGAGCTTTCCCCTTTACGTGCTCTGCTTCTTCCCCACACCCAGGGCTAAGGATCAGTCTTTGAACAATACATTCAAGTTCCAAATGAAAGATTCTCATGAACTCCAAATAAGCAAAATAGGCAATTTACATATTTTTAAAAGTTTGCTAGTTCAACGTTCCATGGATCCAACCAAAGGTCCCTTCTAGGCACTAAACAAGTAGATAAAAAAATTCCTTTGTTACTAAGTCCATTTTTCTAATTCTCCTTTTAACGTTCATCTGAATCCTTCTTGACATCAGGCTGAATGTTCAGCACAAAATACCAGCCTTGCCTTGTCACTGAAGAGCTCTCTCCAGCCCTGGGCTGGGCAGCATTGTGTACGCCCGCCATCTAATCCAGCTGGGAGGAGAAAACAGCTCTTCTGCATTTCTCTAGGGTTCAGTCTACAATCCTGAATTGGGCTGGTTCTGTACGCAGTCAGTCCCTTCCATTGTCTGAGCCTGTGCTGTCTGCTGCTATTGGCTTAGAAGCTCATTCTAGTCAATGTTTTTCATACTTATACTTCCCTTCCTCAGAGCATGTAGTGCGGTGCTTTCTAACAAAAGTTACTTAATGATTGTAAAATAAATTAAGAATACTGATGCCCTAGCTGGTTTGGGTCAGTGGTTAGAAAATTGGCCCGCGGACTGAAGAGTCCCAGGTTTGATTCTGGCCAAGGGCATGTACCTCAGTTGCAGGCTTGATCCCTGGCCCTGGTTGGGGTGTGTGCGGGAGGCAACCAATGGATGTGTCTCTCTCACATCGATGTTTCTCTCTCCCTCCCTCTATCTCTCTCTTTCCCTCCCTTCTAGTCTCTCTGAAAAGCAATGGGAAAAATATCCTTAGGTGAAGATTAAAAAAAAAAAAAAAGAGTACAGATGAATCGGTGAGCTCTGGCCGGGTGGCTCAGCCGGTTGGAGCATTGTCCCATACACTGAAAAGGTTGTGCATTGGGTCCCAGTCGGGTGTAAGCCCCAGTCGGGAGGCAACAGATGCATGTTTCTCTCTCACATCGATGTTTCTCTCTCTCTCCCCCTTCCTCTCTTTCTAGAATCAATAAAAACATATCCTCAGGTGGGGATTAAAAAAAATATCGATGAGTTGTGAAGGTGGAGCATTCAAGGGTAGCAGACTCGGGAGGAATACTGTGTCTTCAGCACACACTGTCTCTGACCTCTCTGGTACCTCTGCGTCTTGGCTAAAAGCAGGGGTGTTGGGAGAATATCAGGGAACAGAAAAGCAATGGGGTGCATCCATCTTGAGGGCATGCGCCCAGACACTGGAATTCAAGGAGGGGCCCACCTTCCAGGGTTCAAATTCTGGCTCTAACCACTTGCTGGCTGCGTGACCTTGGGCACGTGCCACAGCCTCCTGCTCAGTCTCTGCACCGTGGATGTGGTAAGGTAGTGAGTGCCCACCTCACCAGGCTGCGTGTCTCCTTGCTGTCCCTCTTCCAGGGACCCCCTCCCCAGACACCTAAGTGCACCTCACTGATATCCTAGCTTCTTTTTCTTCATAGCACTTATAAGCACCCACATAATGTATGTTTATTTGATTAAGTGTTATCTTGTCTCATCCCTCAAAAAAATGAAACCTCTCTTACAGAGGGACTTTGTCTTCTGCACCTAGAATGGTCCTGTAGAAAGTGCTTAATGCTCCTTGAATGTCTGAGCTGGAAGGTTCAGTGAGTTAATTTATATTAAATGCCTTGATATAAATGTTCAATTCAGGTTAGTCATTATGTCAGCGACTGTCCCTCTTCTGCACCTGTGGGGTCCTTTCTAGATGCCCGTGAGGAGCCCTCCTTACCCAGGGGCGCTTCTCCTAGTGGGGGTGACCTCTTACCTTGGGAAGAAACGCCTTGATCATCAGGTACATGCTGCGGACGTTGAGATTCATTGAGAAGTCCCAGTCTTTCTCTTCGCAGTCCAGGATGGTTCCATGATGGACAAAACTGGAACAGTGATCACACAATGGGGAAAACGATCATTTAAAATGACTTCTATTCAATTCCTTATCATCTTTATTGTCACTTATTGACTTAGACAACTGTCCCCTCCCTTACCAAGATTTTCAACAATTCAAACAGTATCACTTAGTACATTAGGTTAGTAATTATCCCAACGACCTAAGCTAAATTTATTTTAAAAAAATATCCTTTTAAAAGAAGAAGGTGAGAGTTTGGGGCTACCAAACATAAGCAGCTCTACACCAGCAGCACAGAAAACAAGGAAAACAAATAGAAATGAGAACAGCACACCTACCCAGACTACTTTTCAAGAGCAACAGTGCCCCCTGGTGGCACAGATTTAACATTCTCAAGGGATATCCGCAAGGAAAACATCTCAGGGTAGCAAAGTAATATTGCTACTGCACACTTTTAACACACGGAGTCAACAGAGCAGACCAAAACAAAAACTTAAAATAACCTTCACTCTTTTTCAAGTCATACTTCCTTCAGGAAGTTTTCTAAAAACTGGAGTCCTAAGTGATTTCACTGTCCCTTGGACCAAAATTATGTAATTAATGATAAAATATTGTTGGTGTGATTGTACTTCCAGTTGAGTAGAATGACAGAAAGAACCTCATGCTCTATTTCTATACCCCTTACTTAGCTGAAAATTTAATAAATGCTCAAAAACTAATTTTTCTAGTTGATTTTTTCATGGCTCTGGGTATATTCTTATATGAGGGATGAGCAGGTTGTTTATAAAATAGATCATCACAAATTGTTGTGATCTATAAATTGTTGCTTTAATTTAATTCCCATATGTTGTAACACATGATACACTATGGATAGATTGAGGTCTCCCTACCCACCCCCTGGCTGAAACATGGTTAGGAAGAAACACAAATATATGTTAGAAGGCTCTAGGATTATTCTATCAACCCAGCAGTACAAATGGAACATTACATAAGAAAAGTGAAACTTCAGAGTGTATCCGCTTAGTTTCTCTGTAAGCCTCCATTGTACTCATTGCTATTGTCACACCTGAGAGAGGACTACGTTAGCAGTCACTGCATCAATATATAGCTGCTCCAATTCCAATCTCAACAGTTACAGGGCGGTGAAAAGCTGGGAAAATTCCAGGGCAAGAGGAGTAGGGAAACTGAGACAGGAAAGTTAAAACAAGGCCAAACAGTGTGGACAATTTGTAGCTGGCTTGTAAATAACAAGCCGTTATCTTCCCCAAACCAACAACACTTGAGAGCAAATGGTTAAAAGCCTCCCTAACGAGAGAAGTCAGCCATCTCAAGGCTTGGCAAGATAAAATTGCCAGTTGCTTCTCATGAATTCTGGGAAGACCACAACAAAGTAAAAAGGGGCCTTGAGAATTAATCGGTACCAAAATATTCAGCAGAGGAATTTTGAAACCTACAGACAGAAGAGTATATAACACCTCAAACCCCCACCCAACCTGCTCTTCAGATTAGCTGAGAGCCCGTCAGCACTTCACAAGCCGGATGTATTGACTTGCTTGCTTTGCTTCTTTAATAAATTTGCTTGCTTTAATAAAATTGGCTTCATCACAACGCAAACATCTGGAGTTTTCTCTTTCAGTTCATTTATATGAGAAGACAAGAATCCAGGTTGGGGACAGCCCTCTCCCTCTGACTCAGGGGGCTGTCCAATATCACCTCTCTGGTGTTGTGAGAGGTGCCTTTACCATCACCATTCATGTGTGGCTCAGCAAGTTTGGGACGACCCTAACAAGAATTCCTTCTGTGCTGCATACAAAGGTACAATAATACATTTCTTTTGCTGGGATTCATTGTCCCAGTAAGAAACACTGAGCTTGGGATAGTGTAAAGGACTTGCTAGAACGTTATGCCAAAAAATTGGAAACATCTGCATTGCAATACACTGAGTACCTGGTTTCTAATAATGTACTTAGTTTCAAAGACACTCTACTGGAAAACAATTTTTCATTTTATTTTATAAGTCCTAGTGGGACATCAGGGACAAGTCTGTTGGTGTGAGCCAGTCATCAGCCTTAAGGAGATCAATACTTTTTGATTAGTACCAGTTGTCTTGAGTAGACCTTAACTGCCTTTTGGCCCCAAACCCATGTCAACACCTATGGCTGTCTCACTTGCAATAAAAATTCTGTCCAAAATCAAGTCATATTTCCCAAAGACTATATTATGTTTCATCATGAATAATTTGTCCATATTACCAAAATTATTTTAATAAAAGTCGTAGAAAAGTTTCTGTAAGGAGAGCGAAAGCAAAAAGTTCTGAATTACCCGGCAACATTAAAGAGAACGTCAAGTCTCTCGACTTCACTGGCAAACTGATCAATTTGTTTCTTCTTTGTGACATCGAGGACCCGAGTTTGAATACCTGAGAAATAAAACAAAAGACACGGTTTCCCTATACCCATGAAAAATATCTAGCCTTGGAGATTCAGCTGTTTGGAAGTGTGAAGACTGCAGTAACTGGCCAGTTAGGCTTCATAGGATTGTGGCTCATTAGTAGGGACTTAAGAATCTCTTAGTAACAATCTTAAAGTCCTCTCCCTCTGGACCTCCCAAGAACACACCTCTCTCCCTTCCTTTCTCTCTACTCTCTGAATTAATCAGTAAAGGCCTTTTCTGAGTAAAGACTACAGTGAAGTGTAAATGATCTACATCAGATGCTTCTCAGTAAGCTAGCAGAAATAACTGAACCTGGGCTACTTTAGCTCCTCCTTTCCCCCAGTGGCTGAGTCCCTTCTACAGGGATTCTTAATTCTGTCTCCGTGTTGGGGGGGCGGGGGCAGGGTGGTGGGAAAGAGATTGCTTCTCTTTGTGAGCTTTACTTTTATGTGAATTCCATTATTTACTGAAATGACTTTGTTGGTCAAGGGTATCATCACTTACTTCTGGCCTAAACTACAAGAAGAAATGAGAGGCCAGAAGAAGGATCTGGCCTTGAAAGATCTGGCACGGGGTCTGGGAGGAGCACACTGGAAGAGTTACTAGAGAAATCCAAACATTCACTAAGGAAAGCAGCACTCATTATTGCTATTTTAAAAAAACAAAACAATATATGGCCTATTTTATTATACTTTTTTGGATATAGGAAAAAAACTACATGAACAAAGAAAGGGAAGGCTGAAATTGAGTTTCAGGAAGACCCCTTTCCCCTTTGTGCTTTGNACTACATGAACAAAGAAAGAGAAGACTGAAATTGAGTTTCAGGAAGACCCCTTTCCCCTTTGTGCTTTGCCAGTACAATAGCTCTACTTTGAGCTGTGGGAATGATAATTGAACAGAGCCTAATTCAGTTAACTAATTCAACGAACTAATTTGTGTTTGATCATATGTAACCTGTTCTGTTTTGATTTCTTTCAGTCCTCTGCTCTGATTCCTTTCAGAGTAACTCTAATTGAAGTTCTCTGATGCTGGAGTTGGGTCCAGTGCGGTGCAGTAAGGGGTGATGCACACATAAATAATTTGGGTAATCTCTTTGGGTTTCTGATCATGACATGAGCACTGGAAAGGCAGCTGGTCTGAACCGAAATGTGCTGTGAGTGTAAAATACACGTGGATTTCAAAGATTTAGTATGAAAAAAAAAAAAGTAAAATAGTCCATCAACAATTTTTGATTATGTTAAATAATAATATTTTAGATATATTGAGTTTAATAAAGTATATTATTAAATAAATTTTTACCTGCTTCATTTTTACTTTTTAAATGAAGCCACTAGAAAACTTTAAATAGCANGAAAATAGTCCATCAGCAATTTTTGATTATGTTAAATGATAATATTTTAGATATATTGAGTTTAATAAAGTATATTATTAAATAAATTTTTACCTGCTTCATTTTACTTTTTAAATGAAGCCACTAGAAAACTTTAAATAACATCTGTGGCTCATGTTGTGTGGCTGTGGGACAGTTACTCTCATGGCAAAAGACCCAGGAGTGACAAGTTGTCATAAAAAGTTAACAGCTGTTAAACTTTCACATAGAATTTTCTTCTTAGGTACTGAATCCTCCAACATGTTGGATAAAAAAAAAAAAATTTAGATATATGTCTAAAGTTTTGTTTATATATTTAAGTATGCAGATTTTTGCCTGTAGGCTCACGGAATATAAACGTGCTCATCGGAGAGTCGGGCTGCAGTGGAGGCCAGTGGAGCCGAGCGGCGAAGGCATTCTCTTCAACGCCCGAGTGCTGTCGCTTTACAGTGTGGTGTAGACTCTGGATCCCAGGCTCAAGTGGCCGAGTTGCTTACCCGGGTACTTTTCCAGCTCCTGCAGTTTGGACTCATTGATATCCGTGGCTATGACTTTGGCACCTTCTCTTGCAAAAGCCTGGGAGACACAATACACAAAAAACCGCTTTGTTGACTTAGCTCAACTGCTCTCGTGAATGGAAAGTCATTTAGCTTTTCCTCCTTTATCTTATTTTCAGTGCCGCCCCGCCCCCTATAAAATAGGTGGAATTGCAGACGAACTAGTCTCACCTCCCCTTCCCATTATTTTTATTATTAATTAGAACAACACTGCATATATTGTGCTTGTCATCCGACTTTGTCCCCTTAGGAATTTGAAATAAATTAGTGTTTTGAAAAAACTAGGATTCTGTTACTAACACCTCTCAAAATACTGTTCTGTGATATGATAGTCTGTATTCCATTTCTGAGCAGGTTCTTATTATATTCCATTTCTTACTATGTTCCAAATAAGAGAAAAATGGGTTACTTAAACACTTTTCCTCCCCAAAACATACTTCTGTTTTCATAAATGTCACACCATACCCCGTCATAGGCGTAAATGCTGACAAGCTCAGGTGTGGGGTGTAATGTGTGAGAAGTCGATATAAATGAGAAGGTGAAGGTAACCTGCCAGTTTTAACTCGGGAGTCTTTTATCTGAACTGATATAATTTCAGAAAGCTATGCACTCCCCAAGGGCTCCTGCAGTAAATTCAGTACGGCGCAAAGAAACCGAGGCGGAGAAGTAAACTTCTCAGAATCAAAGGTTATTCGCAATGTCACATAACAAACTTGGGAGGTGTTCCCTCATTCAGGAGCAGCAGCTTTCCTTTTTGGGACTTTAGACAACAGAAGCACAAAATGCAATAAAAAAATAAATAAAAGAAAGTAGAGCGGGATTAGCAAACCATGGAATCTGTCCACCTAATTCAATATTTCTACAGAGAGTGAGCAAACGGCAGGAGATGGGGACTTACTAAGGCGGCTGCCCGGCCTATCCCCTGAGCAGCGGCTGTCAGGATGATGACTTTCCCATCAAGTCGACCCATGATGGCACCTGCGGGGGCATAAAAGGCAGGGATTTACTGTGCCAGCAGCGACACCCGGAAGGAATGGTTCAATGTACCCCTTTCAGGGCTTGCAGGCAGCACCTCTGTGCAAACAGTCCCCTCATCTGGACGCTTCTCTAGGTGGCTCGCTGTGCATATCAAGACCATTCAGCACAACCCCCTGAAGTGCTGACCGAGAGACACTGGACTGGACCCCACCTTTCGTTTCTTCAGTACCTGGAGAAGAGGGCCTCTGACGGGCCCAGCAGGAGTGGAGCCCTTCCCCTCACTACTGTCCCACTCAGTCCACTGCCCCCCCCCCCCCCCC